CACGTGAAAAAAGTACAGCCTAGAGGACGTATAACCTACATATAATGTAATGTAATGTAATGTTCAACCGTAGAGTTGAATAATATGCAGGACTACGGATAAACAAACGGCTGGATAAAATATGAGGACCAATTTGTTGACTTTATCTAAAACTACACGGGACGTACGTCATAATACTATGGTCACACATAAAAGATACTGCAGTGTTGAGCAAATTAATAGTGATTTAATTACAAAATTTACTAAACAAGGGTATCGCTCTGAAGTTAAGATATTATGTCTACAGACCTAAATACTCGACAGAATATACATGTTTTAATCTCGCAGACATATTATAGAGTATAGGCCGAGGTAAATGTATTTTAATACTTCATAGAACAACAAACCCGCACTTCTGATGCGAAACATAAATAATATAAATAAATAAACTAAATGAACGGTTTACAGACAGCTACTATCCAATCCGCGGCTAGGTAGTGTGCCACGTACGACTTATAAACCAATATAATATATATATATATATTATTATTATATATTATTTTAAGTTAAAAGCCAATCCGGCGCAGTGGCGTATTTAGAACATTTAAACGAGACAATTTTTATCAAGAAAAAAATGTCAAGCTCCGTTCGAAATTTCGAATCTTTACAATTTTTCCCATACATAATAATTCAATAATAAATTAGGAACTTAACATTTACTTTAGTTATTAGTTATAAAATTTTCTTATATATAGGTAAATGACAAGTAATTAAATATATCTTTAACCGTGAAATATTCTCTGTTTCTATCGGATATTGTATCCAAAAACAATTTGTAAATGGGTAATCAAGACATCAATTACTTCTGGTCACGATTTTTAAATTAATTTTCTTTACTTACTTTCTTACTCTTGTTTAATATCTGACAAAATCAAGAGTCTTATAAAATATCCAATAATAAACACTCTTTCTCGAATCTTCAAAACTAAATATTATTATCTGTTGGTTATAATATGATAAGACAGCTTAGTTAGTAGCTTAAAATTAAATCCGGTTGGTCGCACTCAAATTTAAATAAAAACGCTTTGTACTTTATTTTCAAAGAAATAACGAACTATGACTAATTGACAACATTTAAAAATGTATTTATCGTGATTTTCTATGCATATAATTCGCCTTGTCAATAGAAATATAAAATATGCGTACATATATATACATACCGCAGGCTCAGGTATGTGCCGAACCTGTAAAAGCCACATGGTTATCATGATAAATTTATAGCTTATTGTTTCGAAGTTAAAGTGCAAAAACTTGACGAAACATCCAATAAATTATGCTCGGGCAGTCGGTATGTTTAATATATTATGATAATACCTGCTGCAGCTATAGGAATACCTACCTGGATACGTCATAATATATTATATAGTTAACATAGACGAATTACGAATATATTATATATGATATAACCGAATAAAAACGAAACGTTTTTGCAAGAAATACGAAATTATCCAGTATGACGTACAATAGCGTATTTTATTCACGAGTTGTCAATTAAATATTCGTTTATATACGTAAACGTAAATAATTATATGCGCGTGTGTAAAAAAAAACGAAAAAAAAAATGGGGAAAAACAGAACGATAAATACGCTTATAAACACGGGTAAACACACACACTGCAGTATAGATGGAAACATAAATATAGGGACATAAATACATAATAAATCGAAATTAGCGAATACAATGACCCCTCTCTCAAGTTTGGTGAACCCGCGGCAAAAATTACAGTGTGTTGGCGGCGACGTACCGTTCATCCGAAGGTCAAGAAGTAGCGTTTCGTGAACTCATATTTTTCATCTTGCACGCATCACGCGGCGGGTAAATATCCGGATGAAATCGGTAACCGGAACCGCGGTATATTATGCACGCGCCGCGTACACTATATAATATAGGTATAGGTACATGTCATGACGTCTATGCAGGTCTATAACTGCAGCAGGTTGCAGTATATCTGATCGCATTCAATTCGTACATGCAGGTATACGAGTAATAGGGCATATATATTATAGTCGTGCGTGTGGGCGATTGCGATTCGCGGAATATATTATATATTATATACCATGGGTATACCGCGGTACCTATAGTACACGCATATAACCGGCCTCGTCAACGAATGTGAAGTGTATTCAAAAGACGACGATGTCCGAAAAACCGACTTCGGTCTACATATTATTATATTATAACGACTCTTCTAAGCCCATAGTGGAATTCGAACCGTGCAATATTATTCGCTGCAGTGACTGAAGATCTATTCAACTGCGACCTAAACCATATAATTTTATCGGTCTGTGCAGCGAGTGCATTGTTATGCACGCGAAAAACCATTCGTCAGACGTGTGTGCACTGTGCATCGTCTGCAAAACGTGTCTCATGAGTAAGGAATCCTGCAGGTTCTTCAACGTTATATGAAATCGACAGTTCAAGTACACATCAGCTAATGTACGGATACGATATTATTATATATGTAGTGACTGTGTATGATGGGTAATCAAAATCTATGCGTGTCTCGTCGAATAACATATTTAGGTACTCGAAAAAAATAATACAATTTATGAAACGCGTACGATAATCTCCTTGCTAGTGTATTATAACCAGCACTGGTATACTGCAGCGGGCGACCGTGCTCACAAGAATATAAATAATAATATAATCCCGATGTTATATTGGCGCATATTATTATCTGTCTGATGTCTGATTGTGAAATCATTTTAAACTGCAGGTTATATATTGCGACATACCGGTATAATAAAACATATGTATAATGCGCAGATCAGCTGAAAACAAGACGAGCGACTTGTTTTTTTTTATTTGGCTTTGACGTCGAACAGAAGAAATCCTCTGAGCAACCGTCGAGACTTTTTGCCGACTGTTATAATACTGTAACATAATAAATTCTCTTTCAATCGATTTAGACGTGACACATCGGGCCGAATATATAAAATCTATATATATTATTATTCGTTACATTGTTGTTGTTCGTACAAGCAAAATGGATAAAAGAGCTGCTAGTGCAATCCTTTTAAATGTTGTAGTTGTAAAAAGGTATAGCTTTTATATGCTTTAAACTTTAATCTTCGATTCTCCGACCACAATCGATGATTTTAAATTTTACGATGAAAGTATCGTTGTTGATACTAAGAATTATCCCATACACATTTATTAATTTATACGATATAGCTGGTATAGCATAAGAAGTTGGAATTTTGTGTTTTATATTTTGGGCTTTCAATAATGGTGGAACATGTACCTACTTGACTATAGGTATATAATTTTCAAACAGTCCGCTGAGTTCACGTTCTTCAAGATTTACGCGAAACGGTAAATAAATAATAACACCACGTCATTTTTTGGATAACGGGCTTCGGACAGTTTGTGCATGCGTCGTCGTATCGAAATTGGGAAAAAAAAACAATACCATTATAAACGGTTTTCGGAAAAAAAAGTTTTTAAAAAAAAATTGGAACTGTATAATAATATATAGTGTACCTACTCGCACCCACCACGCATTCTGGTCATACTCGATTGCGCCCACAATTTCTTTCGCGTTGCTAATGTGAGTGAAAAAACATATTATTGACGACAACGCCAAAAACAACTACAGACTATAATAATATACGTTGTACACAATAACATAATAATATGTGCACTGCCGCCGTAATTATACCTCGCAGTGTGCATTCTCTGGTTTTGGTCGTATATAATGAAATTCTTTCAGCCGCCAAACAATATATATATATACATATAGCCACGGCGAAACCCTGAAGTATCGCTGTCAACGACGAAAAAAATTGTCAATAAAAAAATAATAATAAATCCATGCGTAATAATTAGGTAGGTACTTGCGTTCTATATTTTGGTGTTCACGTGTGGTTCGTTTCAACTATACAAGGACCTACATACGCGTATGTATCGTATTTAATAAATCACGTATAGTTGTTGTACTCTTACAATATATAGGTAGGTATTATTAAATGATATTGTGGTCGTACCACGTGTATATTATAGCAGTATTTTGTGCGGTTGCGGGTTGCGATTTAATCGTATTTTATCGATCGTTGGAAATAATATTTGTCACGGGAACGGTTATAAAGAAACGAAAAAAAAAATAACAACGATTAGGTATAATTATTATGATGGTCAAAAATAATATACCTACTGCCTACTCTAATTGCGAGTTAAATAGTATTCAATTATTTTTACCTTGAAAATCAAGACTGCAGTTTCGTCAGGTAGGTCGTATACTCGCCTATAATTTTATCATATTTATCCACATAAATTATGTTGCATTTACCTATCGAGACGATAATCATCAATCAGTATAGGTATATTCATTATAATGCATTATACATTATTGCATTATCATGATTTATGAGTTTTAAAAATATTTACCGCCGGTACACGGATATTATTGTGAACGTGGAAAAAATTAAGATTTGATTAATTTATTCCAAAGGTTGATTAGGTAGGTGTACTAGGTATATACCGTACACTGAAATATGGTAAAACGTTGAAAGTCGTAATTTCTTTTTTAATAATTTATCTGACGGTTAGGTTTTAATTTTTGAAAACACTTTAGGAGGTATAGGTACGAAAATATCTAATTTATCGGTACACGGTGTGTGTGAAATCAAATTACGTATAGGTATTATTAATTTTCGTCCGTCGAAACAATATAATAGGAGTACTGATTATATTGTACACTTATATGTGTGTATTTTTTTTTTTAAAGCATCAATCACGTGAAAAGAACGTTATTTTGCGCCATACACAGCCTGCTAGCCAGCCGAATTATCCCAAACGAGTATGATTCATGTTTTGTTCCTCTTATAGAGATTTTTAGCCCGAGGCGTGTGTGACGACCACTGACGAGTGTGTATATGATCGTATACGCGCGTGTAAAACCTAATTTCGAAAACATAATACTGAGCTAATGTGTTTGGTATTTTGATTTTTCAGACAAACGATGTCCTTGCAGATGCCGGTGACGGAAGACACGCCTCCCGACATGCTGTCTGGGGCAATGGATCTGAACGTGATTCTGCCTAACGGTTCCGTGATCAAGATGAGCGTCGAGAGAAGGTCAGTATCCACCGAGATTATCCGGCGTACTTAATATTATACTGTTATAATATAATGTATAGTTCTGTATACATCGATATTGTTATCGTTATTGTTATCACTGTTATAATAATCGACGATGATGTAAATATCGTTGTTGCTATTCGGTGATTAAAAATTTCGAGATTTTCGAACATACCTGAGGCCGTCGTCCGTTTCGTCGAAAATTGTTTGAACCGCTGCCATGCAAATAAAAATATTTTTAATGCGACATTGCCCTTTAAAATGGTCGAGTATCAAAAATGATGTAGCATTAATCATTCGATTTCAATTCGAAAATAAGCGGTCCATTTCGATTTTTCATTGTACAGCTATATTATTGATTGTTTTTATTTGGCTTAAACATTTGGTAATTGTATTATTATTAAATTATTAGATTGAATTCGTGTGTCGAAAAGATTGTCAATTGTGGCATTACGTTGATCGGGTCGATTGAACATTTTATCATACGATTCATGCTTCACATACTAATACCTCCTAAAAGCCATTCTAAAAATCTTATATGATTTACATTCCCGTTAAAAATGTGTTCACGTCCAATTCCAAGGTATATATCATAACTAAATAAAAATAAATCACGCGGAAATAAGAAAAGAAACATAATAATAATTTATGAGTCGTGAACCGAATCCGTTACATTTTCTTTTTTATCAAATCTATTTCATTTTTTTGATAAAATATTATGGAGATGTTCTACTTAAATCGTACGCCTTCATATATAAAGACATTTTTCGATTATATTTTATTCGTATGATGTATAATGTGTATAATCTCGTCCTATACGATTTCACTAAACTTCTCTCATAAAATATATAAGTTGTAATTGTAATCCAATATAGGTCGGTTTTTTTAATAATTACTGATAACAACACATTTTTTCTCTTCATAAAAGTTGTAAAATATGTTTATTCAAGGTAATCAAACATCGATGTAAATATGCTATAACCGGCAATGTATGATGCCATTAAAAATAATAAATACCTCGACAATCAGTTATAGCCTATATATTGTTATATTGCTTACTTGGTATTTATTGCGGTCCTTTGACGCATTATAGCCAACAAAATGATATTGGCATTATTTTTCATTCTTTTATGCACACTCGGAATGACACATTATTATACAAAAATATGTTTTAGAGTAAAGTCTTAAAGTCACGCGAACCGTATATTATACTATTGTTGCTCATTTATTGTCGAAGAAAAATTCGGTGGGTGGTATCCACTCAAAATTCTATCTCATCAGCATATTCCAAAATTTACCAATTATTAGAATCATGGTTAGAACAGTACGAACATTTTGTACGGAACGATCTTTTTATTAAGTGTTTTAAAGTATGGGTAATTAATAATAATTATATTAGTTTTAACAGCAATCAATAAATTGAAATATTTCATTACGATTATTTGTAACATGCGTCTAAAAATTGTACTGAACAACGAATTTACTGGTACTTTAATAATATATTTTCAGTGTCTATCATATTTTTTAGTAATTTTCGAAATTTACTAAACATTGCACGTATGCTCCTATACATCATTTATATTTTATACCCTGAATATACGATTTCTGATCAGATATTTTTGTCTAACGAATAAATATTTTATTCCGTTTTTTCAAACAACTAAAACAAAATAACGTCTACGGGTTTCTTAGGGAATACGAATCCAACACTTTTTTACATCAAACTTTACTACATTGTTAAACTTTCGAACGTATAAACACGTTGTGTGTCTTATAGTATATTTATGTTGTACCTACCTATTTGCTTAAAGTTGAAATAAATAATTTGTTTAGAAAATAACGTACGCACTACGAAGAAAAAATTATTATTATATATAGGAGGTATTTACCTACTTTTGAATCCAAAATAATGTTTTTGCTGAACTATATTAATTTTTACTAAATTTACGCGTTATCTTAATATTATTGGTATTTTTTTTTAACGCCACTTACAGTATTATGTCATTTGTTATTTTAAATCAAACGTCATCTATATGGGTTATAATTACTCTTATAAGGCATTATAAAGTTCTATCAAAACAAAAATTACACTGAAACGCTAGAAAAAAATATAATTTTGTCAATTACCTAAATTGAAAAATATATATATACCAGATACCTACATATTATATTCATAATTTTTTTTCAGTTACATAAAAATTGATTTGAAGTAGTAGAATTTCCTATGACCACATTAATTTTTCAGAACGAAACATTAAAACTTGCATATATTTTCAAAACAATCATATTAAAAACTGTATAATTTTTTTTTTTTTTTTTTTTTTTTATTTTTAACAAGATATATACAATCTGTACCCTTAGGCACAATAAGAATATGTGATAAAATATTTTGTACATGAAAACGTGAGGGAAGAAGTCAACCAGTGAAGGCACTACCTATAATGTTTATTTATATATATATATATTTTTTTTTTTTTAATTATTTGGATTATTCATTTAGTTAAAACTGTATAATAATAATATAATTACAACGTAATTGAGAGTAAGTAATGGCCGCTGCCACTAGTTCCCGGATGGGTGACCACCCGGGTTCATGGTGACTAAAACCTTGCACACATACAAGTGTTTTCAACCCACCATACCACAACTGTTCCAACCCTACCATCCGTAACCCCTACAATAGCTAATGGCCATAATTGCCGGGCTCTAGAACACTAACAAAAAAATAATAATAATATAATATGTAGTTGCCCCAAATTAATGGAAAATAAATTACCAAGTAATATGCAATACTGTTTCTAAGTTAAAATATTTTGTGTTAGATATATATTTTGATCTGAAGTGTTGAATATTTTATAACTTAAGGACATCTAAAGCTGTAATAACATCTATTGTATATTTAGCTTAAAAAATAACATTACGTAGCAACTTTATTAGTTTGTGCGTTAATTTGCATTTATAATATTAATCTTTGAACTTACAATTATGCCATCTCAGAAATTGTTTTTGAACTCTATATACGTTATGTTTTTACATAATTTAATGCTATACCACACTTAACCTTGTAAAACTATTTTAAAGAATAACTCGAAGAGTCGGATATAATATGCATCTTTAACAATATATTATCATGTAAGAGTACAATTTTAGTCAGAAGCTCAAGTTTCCGATATCCTTTTTTTTTATGTAGGCTAAAGCAATCAAATTAATACAATGAATCATCGTAAAAAATATATTTACTGTTAGTGAAATCGCTCGTATAATTTACACTCGAATTACAGTGTAGCATTCATCAATTTTGTTTATCCGTGGTTCGAGAAATGAAAACCAATAAGACAATAATAATGTATTTTATTCCTATGAGATCGGAAATCGATTTTTCGATCACATAGCGATAGATGTCGATTATTAATAGGACGACGGTGTATCTTATAATATTCATCAAATCATTGTATGATTGTCTATTGTACGTCTATATGTAGTCTATATACACACACGTCCTAAAATAATCACACAACTCGTCTAGACAGAGACAATACGATAAAAAAAAAAAAAAAAACCAAACTCGGAAGCTCGACGACAGTTGTTGTGACCGTGCACGACCTACAGGCGGATTGGCGGCCTACAACTACGATAAGACTATTCGGCTGTGGGTAATCGATTTTTGTGGCCATTGTCACGGCGAAAACGTTAACCACTGGAGGAGAGTGTGTCACTGTCGCGGGCTGTGACCGTATAAATAAATGTATAGGAGGTACCTCCTGCCCATTAACTATATGTGTCCCACATTTACAGGACACACTGTGCGGATATGTATATTATGCAGATATCTCTGCTGTGCTTGTATTGTAATATTATAATATCGAAGTGTTGTGCACATGGTCGAGATCTATTGTTTCGGGTCATTGGGTTTCGCGTCGGGGAACGGCGGTCGTCGTGTTTATTACTATTATTATTATTATTGTTAGCACCTATACAAATACCCTAGGTAGTCCGAGGCAAACATAAAAAAAAAACACGATCTGATTTACAGAAATAATTAGACGTTGTTTTTGATTCGTTTTTTTTTCTCTTGTTTTTAGCACGCCAATGATGGATTTGCTTGTGCAGATCACCACTGCCCACAAACTATCGCCCGGCAGTCACGCGTTGCACGCCATCGGCGACCGCGGGGTCTTGCCTTACAAACCCAGCACTCCTATCGGTAAGTACACCCATATATATATACCACATATACCTACATATTATAATGATATTATGTGCCGGTGATAACCTAACTGTGTATACGAGTCGTAAACGAACAACGAAAAAAAACCGATTGGAATTTGTTGTCGACTGCGAACAAATTTTTGTGGTGCACCTTTAACCCCGGTTAAAGTTGGTCGTGAATTGATTGATAGGCAGACCGTGATTATTGCTAAAAAAATGTGCTTACAACTCGTATAATATGTTCGATATGGTTTGTATGATAACGATAACTTACATAATAATAATAATAATAGAGGTACCCCTACCTACTAAGCAGTTAAAAATAATAAATAATAAAAAAAAGTTTATCTTTCACATAATTTTATCGATGGTTTCGACGTGGGTATAGGTATTTTGTTTTTAGCGTTCTTTATCATTTCGAGGACATTTAGTCTGTTGGCGTGTTTCTCTATATTATTATTATGTATATCGACGAGTATTTTTAATTAAACACGTTTGACACTCGATTTGAGAAAAACACGTCATTGTTTTTGCATAAATTAAATGTAATTATATATATTTGAAGAAAAATAATAGTAGGTGCCTATTTTAAAAATGTAGTTATTAAAAAATTAATTTAAAATTCTAGCGATTAAAAAAAAAAAAACGAGCGAAAGGGCTATGAAACATTTTTAAATTGTTCAACTCATCCTGTTTGATTAATTTCAATTACGTATATTCTGCTGCTTAAAGAATTTATTCTTTATATTCTACATATTAGATCCATAATGACGTCTAACTTGTGGAATTGTAGTTGACAGAACATATTATTCATTAAGCTCTCAAAGGATATTAAATTAAATTAAAAACTGTTAAGTGAGATATAACTATTAAAAGCAGAACATTTTTTTCAAATGAAACTTTCATTTTAAATCAGTCACCTTTTTTTTTAAAACAAAAAAAACTTCTTTGTCCCTCTATTTAGTTGTAGGGACAGATTCCCTTTTTAAAAACATAATATTGTGTGCGATAATTATGTTGTGTGCCTCAAGAATAAATATATTACCGGAAAACTGCAACGAATGCGTTTTATAAATTGCTGTATGCGACCTTTGACACCTTTTAATCGTATTCTCTCCCTCTCTTTTACAGGTGCCCTAGATACGTGGACAGTAAACATTGTTCCTAAAAGCTTAAGCAAAAATGGCAGGTATCAAAGCCAGTCTATTATGAAATGCATAACAAAACCGTTCGAACAAACGTTCCGTCTACAGGTAATTTTTGTATAATTATTTTTTTTTTTTAAGTAAATTTATTTTAAATCTTATACTTTTCTCAACATTTACAGGTACATTTACCGAGAAATCAGTTATACGTGTCCCGAATAAGTCCAAAAACGCAACTTAACAAAATTCTCAAGCAAGTATGTTTCGAGAAAAATCTTGATCCTGCCAAGTATACATTAAGGAAACCAGGTATGTTTTTATTGTGCTTTTATTATTCAATTACTATAGTTGGTAGGTACGTATAGTGTATACGTTTACGTTCGTAAAGTTCAATGTTAAATTCGTAAAAAAACTCATATTTGAATACGAATTTAGAACTTACATTTCAACAGTGACGCCAACAAAAACTTTTGTGGCTATAGGTACTAATTTGCTACCTATTGAAATATTAGTTTAAAATTTTGTTCGTGAGCTCAACCAATTTTCGGATTGAAGCGAGAAACCAATATTTGTCATAACATGACGTAATCCTAATAGTCAATTTATGGCTTATTGCATGACCTTTTAGTGAATAGTTTTACCGATAACTGCTTGTAGCCAATAGGTAGTAAGTGTGCCTATACTGTACACGTAGCGCAACATCAGTAATTACGACTGCATAAAATCATTAATTGCAGTTTAATGTTTATCAAAATATTTTTATTATTATTATATTAATAACCCGTTAATTAATCTGTCTTATAATATAATATAATAATGGATCATAAAATCATCTGATATTCTATTATTTTTACTCGAGAGTTTTATCATTGTGCTTACGGAAATCTATAATTATGAAGAATAAACAATATAAACTGTATAGGTAGGTGTGTACAAACCACTATAGGATGTTAATAGTGTTTATATAAGTGGACATGAAAATTAACATAAATCGAGTAGGTCGTCACAGCCTCTGAAATATTTATAACTTCATATTGACACACCTAACATGTCACATATTATATTGTTCCACATTTACGCTATAATTATTAAGACTTTCTTATACATTAGAGCTTTAAAAACAGTTTTATCTGTGCATCATGTATGGTAATCTGACTGTACTCGTATGTAAACCGTTTTTCCCTCAAATCAAATCAGCTTTTTTACGTTTTGCAATATCCGAACACCCAGAGAAAACTGCTTCCGCATTACTTTCCACAAATCTTCTGTGTTTGTGTTACTACTATTGAACTTCATTAAGATTCTATACAAATACGACTCACACAAAATTGTTTCTTTAACATATATTTGCACCCGAATTCCATGCATTGTGTTGTCAAGTACTGTTATGTTATCTTATCTTTCAATGTAAACTCGTAAAAATAATTAAACAACATAAGCACTGTTTTTTGTTACACATAGTGTCATGAACAACAACTAACAACTCTCGCATTTTTTTTTTGTTTTTTTTAAGACAAATTGAACGAGCCCTTGGACTTGAGTAAAACATTAGTTGAGTATAAACTACAACAATTGTCACTAGTGTTGAATACTAATAGCACTCTCATCGGTGGTCTATCTTCAGATGACATCATGTCCCGGGCACCTAAAAAATTTTCGGTAACGTATACGACATATTATTATTATAAAATAAAAAAAAATTATTTTTTGTGCAATTTTTATAAAATATCTAAATTAAAATTTCTAAGTACCTTCTATAACTTGATGTGTCTTATTGATTATAATTAAATATAACATATGAGCTACATAATTTTCTTTAAAAATATGTTAAATATTTTGTTTCGTAATAAATATTTAAATATTTAAAAATACTTTTTAATACTAAATTTAAATAAAAATAAGTATGGTATGTATCAAACAAATTAATCTTGATAGTTTGATTTGAAATAATTGTATTTAAATTTAAATATATATTTATGTTAACAGTGTGATGATAGTTTGAGTAGTGGTAGTTTGGGTGGTAGAAGTTTGAGTCCGACCAGATCAGATGAATCTTCAGACACCCCACGTAGACACCCATTAATGGTCAAAGTATTGCCATCTAGACCGGTCAGGAAAAGAAGACTGGCACCAAAACCACCATCGGTAAGACAAACTTACACGATTAATCTAAATCTAGTCATTTAATACGTTTCTAATAAAAAAAAAAAAATAAAAAAAATAATTTCAGCAACCACGAAATGCTCCAGAACAAACAATAATTTCACATTCACGAAATAGTTCTGATAGTAGTGGATACCACGAATCATCAGTGCTTAGTGATGCTGTAGATTCCAGGTAAAATAAAAAATGTCATACAATTTTATTTATGATTATATTAATAACAATATTTTTTAAAATGCATATATCAATAATTTTTAAAAACAATTCAAATTAATATAAATCTATAGTATTTATATACTCTGTATTTATTTTCATTTTTTTTATATTGTCACTAGCAGTGTTGGAATGACGAGGTCTGGGAATTTTTCTCCTACCAAAACGTCTGGCCCGACCATATCGCGTTCAATGACCAATCTCCAAGCTTGCGGACAAAATCAGAACCAGTTCTCCGAAATACCTTTTATGTCTAACAACATAGGTCAATCAAAACACTCCGTATCTACTACATCACTAATATCTATTCAAAGTGAGTACAAATCTATTTGTTTTCACCATAAATAATTTATTAATTAGAATAATAATAATTTAAACATATTACAATAATATTTTGAAATTATAAATTTACAATGTATAGTGTGTTAATTTAATATTTACTGAACTGTCGTAAAGGTAAACCATAAGTCTATAAATAAATTATTTGTTCTTTTAGGTCGTAAAAAGAAAGCTGCACCCCTTCCACCACTAGCAAATAAGCCCAAACTCGCACCACCACAAGAAGAATCCGAAAGTGAGCCAGAAACACAGAGAAAATCGCAAACACTGCCTGTTACTACAAAACTGTATATAGCAGATCCACAAGAAAAATCAAAAACTGTTTCCAGAATAGAACTGAACAATAATTTAGTTGAACCTAATCTATCCCCAGCAACTTCCTCGTTGTCATCACTTAGTCGATCCGATGTAGATAGAGGTATGTTACCCAAAACACCAACTGTCCTAAAATATTCCAAAATGCCCTTAAGCTTTTTATCTAGTGAACCAGTTCATAAATGTAAATCTTCAGTAACACTAAACAATGTAGATAATAACACAGTTTATAGTAGTCAATACAAAACTGAATCTTGGAATAAATTTTTAAAACATCTAAATGATGTTTTAGCTTGTAAAAATGAAGAATATGTTTAATACCCTTGCAACTTTAATACTATGTATATAATATTATTATTCTTTACACGATTTTAAATCCTGGCTTGCTTGGCTTAACTATGTATATTAAAACCCTATCTAGATTTGACTGAACCCACATCTCCCACATCCTCGATTGTAATAGGTTGTAAATACTTATCAAAATTGGAAGTGAAATCGAAAAGACCAGCGCCTAAACCACCTATACGATCTTCTTCGACCATAAACCGACCACAGGCGTCCAGTCAACCTGGAGATTTGACAACAGTACCTCGATTATCTTCAGGTGCTTTACTAAACTTCTTCTTTCATTTTTCTATGCTTTATATGCTTATTTAAATTAAGGTGTTGGAGGAAATTTTTAATACTAAAGCCACATATATAATATAAATGTGGTATGATATAGGTTCAACTGCCGACGAAGACGAGTTGCGTATGGACGATGAAGAAATCGATCGTATATTTGGAGATGCAACTAGTGGTTACGATACACCATCTATCGTTACCATAAAAGAAAGCAACACAGAAGTTACAGATATTGACTGGGAATACAAATTGCCTGACCCTCCTTCGGCATTTAGAGATGACCATTCTCCTGCAATGACGATGTTCGATACAGTAACCATCGGTAACCTTAAAGATGTCGTCCTTCAAGAGGAACCTACTGTTAATCCAGTTGAAGTGAAAGAAGATAGCATCACAGTTGAAGAGTCTGTAAAAAAAATAATTGGGGACGAATACCATTGTTTCCCTCAAGACTCAGGAATTGGATCAGATGATTCATCGTTGCCGTCGAGTTGTGAAGAAAAAATACACGCGGATGAAAAACCCGTTAAAATTGTTGAACCAAAAGAATCTAAACTAAATAATTTTAAAATTGTGGCTTACGATGAAGATTGCACTAGACCCACAGAGATATTCTGTGATGAGTCGGTTAAAACGTGGAAGACAACACAAATAGCTCGAGAATCAAATCCCGCATACAAAACGCAAACCCCGAACTCCGTTAATAGACACAAATCGTTCAGTATGGATAGAACTAACTCGTCCGTAACAGTCAAACGGAGTACGTCACATATAAGTCTCTTGAGTGGTAATATAAAACCATCCAATCGGTTGGCCAAACACTATATTGGACGAACTTATTCTTCTGAACGACTTAATTATGATGATGAGTCTCCAGTGAAAAGATCGTTCAGCGTAGACAACATAACAGAAGGTTAGTTAACAATTTCCATTATTGTTTATCTAAGTTTAAAATGGCTATTACTGGTTTTATTGTAGATGCGCGAGAAAATTGTCAAGACGACAACGACAACCACAACGAAATAATACCAAAAAAAATTGAACCTACATTAGAACAATCATCTCCCTTACACTCCCTTCAGGTATTATTTTCATTTCAGTATTATTACTAAGTAATTTACTTATGATATAACTAAAGAGTATAATTTCAATATAACGAACATTGTTGTTAAATTAAAACTAAGCCAATTTATTATTATTATGTTTCAGATATTAAAAACGATTCTCCCCCAAATTGAAGATCATAAAGAAAATACCAAAAATAATAATTTAAGGTAAAAAAATTATTTTTTCTATGGGTTAGGTTAGGTTAGTTATAAACTCGGCTCTAATTTTTCAGCAAGCGAACCTAAATAATTTAGATCCTAGAATTAAAAATTTGCAATTAAAAAGGGAACTAAATTCAGTTATATTATGCATTATATTTATATTTGATATACTTCATAAATAATGGTTAAAAAAATTAATATTTCTTTTACACAAGGAATTAGTAGGTACTGAACTGTTTATAATTTACCCTAAGGATTAAGAAACAATCAAATGATTAAAATTAAAACAAATTTTTAATAGATTCAAATACGTTCACGTTCAATTTACTTTCACGGTTAGTTACTGCTATAGCAGTAATTTCAATTTTGATGTAATGGGCCATTACTGCTATAGTAGTAATTTACAAAACCACGAATTCGGGCATTACTGCTCATGCAGTAATATATTAAATGAAACTATATATGTGACTGACCTATTATGTTCACTCATATGTTTGGGCACAGATAAATATAAAATTCTATTTTTGAATAATTTGTGTTGGTATTTTATTAATTTGAACGATTTTCTGAGGAGGGTAAATTGATAATATAAAAAGTGAAGTGTCCGCGAAGGTGTTAAACACAATGTTCTTCATACCACACTAACAGTAACTCTTTTAACAACAACAATGTCAACTGGTTTTGTTTTTTCGGTAAATTTGAATTATGTGAGGTGTCAGCGCACTATTTGTTTTTTCTCTCTGGCGGTCTGACCTACGCAAAACATATTTCAAATTCAAATGTATGATAAATTTAGTTTTGACTTGTGAGTATGTAAAAATTATAATTTAAAAATGCTCACATATCACAGAACAATTTAAATATAGTACTCGATGTTTGATAATAGGAAGCTAATAACACAAGAACACGTCTCGCTGAATACAAATTTGCAATGTTCTGCGTGGGTCAGAGAGGGGAAACAAATAGTGCGCAGAAATCCATTTAAATTGAATTTGTTGATTCACTTTACATTAAATATGCAAAATATATGATTTAACGAGCAATACACCTCCAAATATGCAAAATAAAATTTGGTGTGATACGAAACGTCGACATTTTGAACCATGTGCATACACTATAAACAAACATGCAAATGCATATGATTCCATCTCTACTCATTATAATACATATATTGTTATTATAGTATATATTTTGTTTTACTTTCATGATTTCGTTTGCATTTTATTAAAACGTATGAGAAAATTCAACAATGAGTTTATAAAATTAATTAATTTGTCTTAAGAAGCGTTATAATTACGGAGGTATTTAAAATATAATTTTAAATGAATTTATTTGTTTTCAAGTAGTATATTTTCTATGTATTTATCAATATTAATAGGGACTAAGTTAACGATCGAAATTTTGTATAAATTTTACCTACGATTCCGAGTTTGTGTTTGCCCAATAAAATCCTTTATTTATACATAATATTATACATTACACAGTTAATTGAATTGGGTTATTTTAATTTATCTATTTAATATAATATGTAGGCCTATGTAGTATATACTATACCTATATTTCATGTCTAATTTCAATACGAATTATTTTACAGTTTTGATGAAGTTTCAAGTATTAAAAATACATCACTTTCGGAAGCAATAACGGAAAAAAACAACGAGAGTCCGTTTAATGAGAATGCACTCGAAACGAATGTGTCGAAACCCAAAATAGAAACAACCGAATTCAACGAATTTCGAACGCGGGTGGCTTTTCTGAAACCCAAGTGTCAAGAAGTCACGTGTGAGCAAAAACCTGCGACGGTGGAGACGCCAGCAACACACGTTCAATCCAAAAATAAACTTCTCGAAGAGCCCGGTAAGATCGATATACTAGATTTACAGCGCGGATTTCGTAACGACAAACCGGAAGCCCAAATGCCGGTCAACAAAGACGAAAAGGTCAAGAGGTATTTGTACACGGGCCCCCCGAAAATCAGTCTGTCCACGTGGAACGAACGTCCCAAAAGGCAGGTGAGCATCAAAACCGACCGGGACTACGTCATTGGCATCAGGCAGAGGTTACAGCGAAAGGCCGACGGCGAGGACACCGCGAACAAGTCGTTGGACGAGGACTTCAACTGCAATAGCAAGCCCGTGTCCAGGGTGCCGATAGTGAAGTCGGTGGAACTGAAGAAACCCTACGCCGAACAATTGCAAACGGCCAGCCCGGTGTTGGCCCTGTCCGAGGCGATAAAAGCTCAAGCCAAACTCAGCAACGGCTACAGTTACCACGGCAGTGCGATCGTGTTGACGGGTGAAAATGACGACAACGCGACATTAAGACCGTTGGAAAAGAAATCGTCCGCCGACCGCAGCTCGTACACTTTTGGTAAGCTAATGGGCCGGTCTAGGAAACCCAGGGAGATTTCGGCGAACGTCGATCCCAGGGAAAATCTACTCGAGTCGATCAGGTCGTTCGGGGGCAGAGACAACCTGAGGAAAATTAGAGCATAGTTCCAATAACAGAGACTAAACGCACTGACATTTTACTCGGTTATCATATCAAATGGTTCGAAATCGTAATGACCTAATGCCCTTCATCGGCCCTTGTGTAGTAGATAGTTTTATTTGTTTCGCATTAGAAGACGCCTCGAAGACGTCACACTAAAGTCAATTATTTTTAAAGGTTTCCATAACCCGTGATGGCTATTATCATCATTTGAACTATAAATAAATTGTCGACTGCAGTTTATAACACGACGTGTCCAAATGCAGAAATGAGACTTTGAATATTATTATCACCCACTCGACCACTCGTGCAATTTGCTCTTGTTCCTTGATTTTTATAAACATGATTTCAGATCAAAATTACGAAACCAAAACGTGTACTCTGTTTCTGATTATTGCGATTTGTTTATTGGATTCGGCAATTTTATTTTGTTGGAGATCGCCAAAGTTAATTCGAATAACCGCATTATATACTACTTGGCGCTCAACAAAACTTTTCGTTTGCAATCAGTTCTGTTTTCTGTGTTTCTGTTGCAATTGAAACACTGACTAACACCTGCTGATGCTCATTATAGGTGTAATGCCTTTTTTTAATTTAGGTGTCCTATTTATTTATTTTTCTTTTGTGTTTATACAAAGTTATAGGCTCGATAACAATATTAAAGTCATAACCAGAACCAAATATTTGTGACAATTTGTATTTTCATTATATATTTTACTCATTTGCTCAATGTTTCTAAAGTTATAGATATCGTTTAAAATTACTAATTTTGGAGTTGTTTTCGTTAACCAAAATGATTTTTTAAATAATATTATTATATTTTACTTACCTACGTTATTATTGCAAATTATTCACTATAATAGTCGTTTATTAGATATAGATTATTATTGTTACGACCTTTAGGAGCCAATATAAAAGTGGTCATTGTTATTTATATTGTATGTAGTATGTATTTCATTTTTTTTTTTTTTACGTATTTGTTTAATAGAATACACTTTAATACATTATTTATACTGATACTAATACAAATATTGGAATTTAATTAAAGGGAAAATATTAAAACACCCAAAGTTTATAGACTAAATATTATGTACATTTTTATTATTATTTTATGTTTGATTGTTTTGTGTTATGTAAATAAAATAATGTACACTGTTATATTTTAATGTTATTGTTTGGGAAATTGTACCATAATAACTATAATGGCATAATAATGAACAGTTATGAATAATAACAATATAATATTTTACCAATGGTTTATCTTAAACATTGGTGAAAACCTAAATGAGTACCTACAAGACCCAACCTTTTTATATCTATTCAGTTAAATACTTAAATGTTTATATATGGTTATAAAGTAAAATAGAATAGGCGCTTGACTAACCTTATGTTCAAAGTCAAACTAACAAAAACAATTGTTTTTTATTGATGTCAATTAAATTGGTATATTATTTACATCGACGTAATTCTACCTACAACAAAAAATAATAAATTCCACACAATATTTTTAATATATTTATTGGTTCAACAATTTATATAATTATTAACACGTTATTTAATTAATTCATACCAGCTTTACAATTTAATTTAAATTTAATTCTAGAGCTCAAATTTACACTTGTCGAGTAAAAGCTGTATATTATATTAGCTACACGTGCATTAAATAATTTAATACTATCCGAAAGAGTTAAATCAAATTATTTTAAACATGCATTCGTTTAATATTTCAAAACGTCAATTTTAAATATTGATCAGACCAAAATTGAATAAAAAAACAAAAAGGTTGTTTTCTGAATATTAAATGTCTAGTGACCTGACATTTTTGAAAAATATAGACTGTAATCGCAACAGTCTGATCAGAGTGACTTGGGAATAAAATAATTTCGTTAAAGAATTTTTTTTATCATAATTTTTTTATTAGGCAATCTCGAATCTGTTACAATAGTTCAACAATATAAGCTTAATTGATTATAATATTAGAGCACTCGGGAAACACAGAATGAAGAGACCTCCCAGTAAAGGTACTATTCGTCCGTTTGAGAATCGAGAGTAATATTATTACATTGTTTTAATGATATAGAATCATAGACCAACAATGCTGTTTACATGATTTAAAATTAAATAGGTACTTAACACGAACTAAGATATCTTAGTCCTTGGTACTTAATAATCATGCTTTGGCAAGCGACAAGGTTGACTCATTCTTTGCCGGAATAGGGACGTGTTTGAACTTTTGGGGAAAAAAAACAATAATTTGGAGATCACAAGCACTCGTCTGTATAGCACACAATAAAATAGAATAACAAAACATATTATCAAAAATATCGCAATCGACCTACTCCATACGAAATGTTGGTTAATACATAAATGATATAATATTATTATGGTTTACTTTATCGTTCTGTATTGTGAGTGACGTGTGTAGGTAATATACAGCTTCACATCGTGGGTAGATATGCCATATGCATTTATCTTAAGTTTACCAAGAGAATATGTATCGGTACCTACGCAAAAACAAAAACGAATCATCCCACTAATATATTAAGTTCCTTTTATAGTGTGAACAATAGACTATATAGAATGCTCAAAACGTTATGTTATTGTCTCGGGGAAAATATCGACGTATAAAAACTCTTTGTTTTAAGTTGTTATTTGTCAAAACTGTATAATATTATATTATGCTTGGGTAGTATATACATATAGTCACCGATATAATTAAATAATAATGAACTATCAAAGGCAAACACAGGCTCACGTTTAAGCATGATGACTTGGCCCCAACAGTTTAGGTGCCCCATAATGGAACCCATATTTCCTCCTTATATTACAGACATTTAAGAAAGTTTTTTTTTTTTTAGATACTTACCTTAAAATCTGTATTGAAATAATTGTTTTTCTGTATCGGATCGCCTTCAAATGCAACGTTCAATAGACCATTTGGCAATAATGGTTATTTAATCACACAACTTTGTGCCCATGTACACGAAAAAGAGAAATCACATGTTGCGGCATAGTTATCAAACAAACAAAACCACGAGAAACGTTTATTACGCTATTCTATGGTACTAAATATCGAACTTACTAGGCATAGACTTTGACATTAGACTTACAGAGTAGAACAGTTGTAGGTACAGACTTCTTTCATTCAGGCCCACTCCGCACCCCCAAGTACGTTATTATTTTAAGCGTTTTAAGTCTTGCTGGAAAATATATAATATCATAGGTATACTGTAGTGTACACTTATATGTTTTAAAAATATTTAATTTAAATTAAATTTACTTTGTCGGTAAAAACTAAGCCCTTAAACCACACACTATAAATTGTAATATAATATTATTTATTATTATCATTAATTATATGAATAACTGTAGATTATATAAAACTCAACTGTGTTAGAACCAAAACAAATTTTACTGTTCTGGTTTACGGTTTTGCTCACCGCTCACCGGTTCTAATAACTAAAATAAAAATCTTAGGCTTTCTAAAAATCAGTTATAAACTTCAAACGTTATGGTTAACCACTCATATTATACATGTCTTATATTCAAAATAATATTTTTGTTACAATACCTTTTCACATGCTTATAACTATAATACACGTAACTTTTTCCTTCGTATACAAAGAATTAAAAATAAAAAGGATTTTCATGGATTTTTTTTTTAATTTCCCTCGAGGATTAATACCTGGACCCCAGTAAGAAAACCAAAGAATCCTACAACCAAATATTTGGATTTTTTGGCCAAATTAAAAAAATATCTCTTCAACCGGAATACTATTTAAATTGACTAAATATTTGCGCCGTGATTATTAGTATAAATTCCATAAAATTCTATACCCATGCCGTGAGGAGAGTTCGAGAAAATTTGCATTTCACGGGCGTGGCATGCGGTCCTAGGTATTAATTTTTTTAGTCATTTTCGTTGTGTCCATCGCTGTAAACCCACCGAATACATTTTCACGGAAAATAGAAAAAAGTTTTTATTTGTTTTGTTTTGGCGTTACTTTAGTAGCTTAACTAGTGGTTGGTATTGTTTCTTCGCATGCTAGAGAACCAAGAGAATCAATAATATTCATGTCCTCAAATTCATTCCCATTTTCAAAAACCGTATTTCCTTGGGTGCAGAAAATTATATTTATTATAAAAATATTAAATTTAATTATTATTGTTTTAATGGTAGGTACTTATACGGTAGAAATATGATTTAGACTTGCAAAGGCTGCCTATGATGGGCCCCGGGCATACTGTAATTAATTATTATAGAAACACTACACAGCTATAATAAACAGTTTAATTGTCTTAAAAATAGGTTGAGAATACAAATTTAATTATTGGGCATTTCTATTTTAATCATATATTTAATTAAACTTTATATTTTTGCTATTCTTTATTATTATATATCTTAAAATATAACAATTTATAGGAAAACTTTTCTTGTTTTTATTCAAGAGAATCCGATTAATAACAGCAAAAATACAATTTGACATGTAAAAATATATGAATGATTTATCCCATTAAGCAGGGCTTCTGGTGGGGTGAATGAGTTATAACATGCGTTAAAAATGCAAACATATTATTATTATTTTAGATTCTGAGCTGATGTATTTATTTTACAATGATGGATGATTTTTATTAGTGTACTGTTACCCACCCCATAAAATATATATCTATAATATTGAGTATATAATACATTAGCACACATTACGAATGGTGCAGTGGTGACGCAATTAATAAGGCAATTAATATCGTAAGCATGCTGTGGTCAGTGCGAAGAGTGTATTAGTGAACACAGTATTGATTTAATCAAACGACGAAAGTATTGTCATTTGTCACACGTCTCTTTTCGGAAAAATCGTAAACTCGATGTCCATGCGAGAAAGGATAATATACGAATTGACCAGAATACCAAATTATGTCACGAGACCCAAAAACCCACCTCGTACAGTAAAGTCGCTCTACCACCACGACCACCACTCTTAGTGATAAGATCATATTATTGTACGAG